TTTTTGAGAAAATAAAGAGCTCATGCCACTAAACAAGCATGATCCGGAATATAAATCACTTCGAAAGACCCTCATGAGATTTCACAAAATTGCGCCAGTGGAGGAGAATCTACAATTCTACGATTACACGGTCAACATGCTTTACGAGATCACTGACGAGTTTGAAAAGTTCATCGAAGCCAATAAGCCATGGTTCGTTCCAAACGTTGAGAGCCCTGCCTATGTTCGCGTTCTCAAAGAGGCCAAAGGAAGTTTTGTTTTGGGATTTGAGCTTTTGAATGAAATGCAACGTTGTGGAATGGATACTATTGATCTTGAGGAGAGGCTCAAGGATAAGGATCCATTGTTTTGTATGGAAGTTCGAGATGTGCTTCCGATCACTTTGAGGAAGCCTGTTGAGGTGAGAACCTTGTGGACGATATGAAAACCGGACACTGGCAAAATGTTCACCGTAGTAACAATATTATTTTGTCAGATGAGAATTTTTGACACCTCTTACGAGAATCGAGAAACCTTAAACACTCTATTAGGAAGTCACCTTCTATTAGAGTGTTTACAGGGAAAGTTTGGTGATAAAATTTCCCATAATTTTCAGCTCATCGTCACCGATATCACCAAAGCGCTGAAAACACCCATCTACATACCAGCACCTGGCGGAAGCTACTGTATCCATGCTCTCGACATTGTTCAATATTTGGTTGTCTGGGTCCACACGAAGGGATACTTTCAAAACGCATCCGACGAGACTAGAGACAAATTGATTGAAGCGTTTGAATGTGTGAAAAAGATTTTGGACAATGTTAAGGTTTGTGTTTTGGATTTTCGGTAGTGCTGGACTGTACATAGTAAGGTTCACTGCCTTTTTGGTGTCCCTATAAAAAGGTCCGTCGTTGGTCCGTCGTTGGTCCGTCGTTGGTCCGTTGTTGGTCCGTCGTTGGTCCGCTGTTAGTCCGTTGGTGGTCCATTGAAATCGGAACTAGTGGAGGTGAAATCGGGGCTGGTGGAGGTGGAATCGGAGCTGCTGAATATGGAATAGGTGCTGTTGAAGGCGGAATCGTATTCGGTGGAGGAGGAATCGTATTCGGTGGAGGTGGAGTCGGAGCTGGCGGAAGTGGAATCGGAGCTGGTGGAGGTGAAATCGGAGCTGGTAGAAGTGGAATCGGAGCTGCTGGCGATAGAATCGGAGCTGGTGGAGGTGGAATCGGTGCTGGTGGAGGTGAAATCGGAACTAGTGGAGGTGAAATCGGGGCTGGTGGAGGTGGG